CCCGCGGCCGGCCTGCCACTGTTCTCCAGATCCTCAGGGTTCCCTTTGTCGACCGGCCGACCTGCCTCAAGAGCACCTCCACCACCATCCTGCAGAACATGTTCTGCGCCGGCTTCTCGGCTGGCGGCAGTGACACCTGTGGTGGGGACAGTGGAGGGCCCTACACCACTGAAATTGAAGGCACCTGGTTTCTCACAGGGATCACCAGCTGGGGTGAGGAATGTGCCAAGCCAGGTAAATATGGCATCTACACCAAGGTGTCCAAGTACCTCAAGTGGATCAAGGAAACCACGAGGCTTACCTAGCCCATGGGAGATCACGTGCTGGGGGATGGACTCAGGTGAAGAGAGACCATAGCAATCTTGGCATGTTTTTCAGAAATTGTTGCATTTCAATAAACATTTCCAAATGAACTAATTTCTGTTCTTGAAAAGCAAAAGTTGAGAGAATGCAGTGGAAATGCAGTAATAAGGAAATAAAAAGCCTTTTTAATTACCCATGACTGCATCCCCGAATGTATTGGCACTGCTGAGACGGAGCGAGCCCCCAAATCCCAAGTGCAGAGGCAGGTGTGGATGAGTTGGGGCACAGCTCTCGTGTGCCAGCATGCCGCCGGCATGGCCATGGCTGCCACACAGCACCACGGGCACTGGGAGCCCAGCAGGCACTGCTCCCTATGCTCCCCAGGGGATGCAGCATTGTTCCCTGTAGTAGGGGTCCATGACGGAGCGGAACATGCAGAGCATTGTACCCCCAGCCAGATGTTTTCACACGAGCCAGGCTGAGATGGATCATGGGCAGCAGGAAATGCTCCTCCTGCTTTAGGACAGCATAAATTTGGCTATATAAATGGCCTAAAATCTGAGTCTGTATAAAATTCATCCAAAGGTAGTTGCAGGCTTTATGCTTACGATTTCTGCTGAGCCTTGTTAGGATTATAAAGAGGCTCCTTACCTGTCCTGGTCTCCATATTAAACATGTTAAATTAGAGACTGCAGCCATGGATGCTGCTTGGCGGTGATGGAGATGGTGCATTGCCCTCCCCAGTCAAGCTCATGGGATGTACCCCAAGTGTAGATGGCATGGGACACCCCAGTGTCTGGTCTGAGCAGGTGCCAGAAACCTCACTGGGAGGTGCCCACCTAGTGCCTAGGGTAAGCACTGGCACCAAGACACAGGGAAAGGAAGGTGGCATCACGGGAAAGGTCATGCTGGGTAGTGGTCCTCTGTCAGGCTGATTCAAATGAGCTTAATTCCACTTAATTCCCTTGAAGGGAAGGGAATAAACCCAGAGGAAGGGAGGCTTACCTCTGATCAGTGCTGGTTCATCTTGTATCTCCTTCTACGGAAAGCTCCATGGGTGCATCAGGAAGCACTGTGGCCTTCAGGACGCGCATGGCACGGGCAGTTCGTGTGTGGTTTTACCACACTGCAGGCACAGTGCACAGTACCACTGCACATTCCCAAAGGCATAACACCCTGACAGGGGTTTTCTCCCTCCCACCTGGTGAGATGTCCCCCCACACTACCTGCAAAAGGGCTGTTGGTACCCACATGGCCCCTGAGCGCCCATCCGGAGGTCCCCCCAGCAGCAAGAGCTGCCTGGTGCTGGGATGCAGGGGAGACTGGCGATGGAGACACCCTGAGCCAGGGTAGGATTTCAATAGCTGCTATTTCAGATGTCAGGAGGAGCGCTAAGGTGCCTCTCCCAGTTTAATTGCCACTACATCCAGCAAGAAGCTAATCGGATCATCTGCCATTGGTTATTTTAAAATCAAAATGTGTGCAAGAAGGTTATACTTGTTCCACAGAAATTAAATAAAATCAACACTGTGAGAATTAATTTTTTTCTCTAGAATTATAGCAGAGGTGTCTTTGGACAGAATTGCATGTTCTCATATGAATTTACTTAACAAGTTTTTAATCTTTAAATATAGATTTAACACATTTTTTTACAGGTACATATACAATATAGTTCATTTAAACTTCCAGTCAGAGAAAATTCTCTACCGTAATTTATACATATACATGAAAAGCATAGTTCAACTGCATATTTAAGGTAACATACCATGTCATGTGCAAAGTTTCAAATGTTAAAAATCTCAGACTGTACATTCAGATTTGCAGAACTTATCAACCTCATAAATTAATAAAAGCTTAGATTTAAAACTATGGAAGACAAAAAAGATTAAAACCATTTGATAAGCAATATGTGCTATGTTTGAGACAAATATTTACAGTTGTACCTCAAAAGGTGTACTGTTACCACAAGAATTGTTACCACGATAAACAGCCCCAACAGTAACTGAAGCGACTCCTACTTTTCCACCTAGCAAGTGCATTGTGACCAATTTTAAAGTACCTGGAAATAATCTTTAATGGCTTAAGACCTCTCCACGATTGCCAGTGGCTGAAGACACTGGGAAGACCTGGGATCTTTCTAGGTCTTGCAGTGTTGTTCAGTTCAGACTCAGCTGGTCATGATTCTGAGGGTGCACAGGGCTTATCTGCGATACTGCCCCCTGCCCTCAGCTGGAGATATGCCCACCAGCATGGTGGGGAACCCCTGACAACCACAGTCATCACATAGTCCAACAATTCCTCCAGGCAAAAATGGCCACCACAAGAAAATACCCTGGTATGTTTTACCTTAACAACTTGATACTGTGTCTAAGAATCCATGTTCACAAATCATAAGTCAGATCATAAGGGTCCCCCTTTAGTACACAGTATAAAATGTTTCATTTTGATGGGACAGAGCAAATTCACTACCGCATGCACACCATTAACCCTGCTCTCAGCACAGTCAGATGCTCTTTGCACACATCTGCTTCAAAAGTCACACCACCTGTACCTGTGTTCTACAAAAGCAAAACTAGACAAAGAAACACAAAATTAAATTATGAGTGTTCCGTATTCTTTTTCTTTCTCAAAAATTCAATAGATACATTAATGTTGAAGATGTTGAAAAGTACAGCCTTATCACAAGAACATCCTTAGTGCAAACATGGACATTTAACTTTGATTTATGGCACGTGTTCCAAAAGTACATACATTTAATGTAAACTTCAACACTTGCTAGATACAGGTTTCAGCCTTGGGACGCTTTGGGACCCTAACTGATTGGTGACAACCCTGAGTTGTCAGTTTGACCTGATCCAAACCTCATTGAAATCGGTGGGACCAACTGCAATGGGCTGGAGTCAGGCCCTAAGTGCAAAAAGAAGATCTTTAGCGTTATTGCATCTTCGCGTGCAAGTCAGCCAGATGATGCTCTTGCAGAACATCACATTCACATGGCTGAAGTAGATATTTAAGAAAAATCCATCCATAAAATCAATTAAGCAGGACATACAGCTTCTCTGTTTGGTGGTTTGAGGTTTTTTTGTTCCTTTGCTTTTTGGTTTACCAAAACTCAACTCTTATTTGCAACTTCAACAGTTGTCAGCTAATAAGTAGGTAAAGCCTGTAGAGGAAATTTCAAGCATCTAAACAAAGTGTCAGGAAACTGTAGTGTACTTCTCTGATGAAACGTGATGGATGTCATGGAAAAATGTAAAAATAATAAAATACTGTACTTTCCATAGGAGTGAAAAAAAAGAAAGAGCAGAGAATGGCTTCCTTTATGACTATGAGAAGCTGCTTAGGACCCCAGTCCCATTCAGTGCAGATGACTCTGTGGAGGTCTGTGAATGTGATGAATAGTACAGGACAACTCGAACTATTGTGCTATTTCTCTGTAACACTTAGTTGAGAGCTTCCAAAGAGCATCGAAAATAGGATGCTACTAGTTCACCCTTAATTCAAGGGGAACTAAACTTTCTCATGTTACACAGGGCAGCATCTATAAAGTAATGAAGAATTATGTTAATATTAAAGCATCTTATTCCAAGAAATACATTGTTCCCTGTAATCATGTTACATTTGTATAACATTTAAAAAAAAAATAAGTGCACTCCTGCAGTTCTCCCTAAAAGCTGAACTCCCACTGGCTTCAGTGAGAGCCTTGTCTAAGGCAGGACCACAGGGTTTGACACATTCCCATCATCTATCACTTGATTATCACAGCATGGCCGGCTGATATCTTCTCTAGACCCCTTATTTTGTCAGGCTTAACATGGTTTTCTATGGCATTACAAAAGAGCTGTTCTGTGAAGCTGGCTGGCATTATAGATTGTACAAGGAGACCCTGCTTTACGTTTCAAAGGCCAAAAAATCCCCAACATATATCAACATTACCTTCAATGGACCCTGCATAAATGCAAAAGCCAGTGGCTGCAATCATGAAAGTGCATGAGTAATAGTGCAAACAGCTGTGCTGCATATGCAAAACTACAAGTGGCATTTTAAGCAGAACTTAGACAAAACTTGCGCATTTCAGCCAATATGCTTACACCAGCCTGCAAGAGCTCAGTCACGTATACTCTTAGTGGCCACATTCAAGCCATGTGCCCTACAGAGCCACATAAAAGGTTGCCTCAAGCTCACCACAGTGAAGAGGACAATACCCTCCACCCTGGCTAGCAGCAGCAGAGGACACGCAAGCTCAGTCCTTCAGGGGCAAACCTTTGCTCACCTTCACTGCACAGAGAGCACATGCAGGGGATCCCCTTAAGGCTTGGAAGTGATAATTTGGCAAGTGGAGTATTAAAACAACCTAAAAGAGGGTCTGGCATGTAGGACGGGAGCCTGTGTTCTCCCTAAACTAAGTGGGTGGTGCACCCACCTGGGCACAGAGGCTTCAGGCTCCAGGCAAATTCTCCCATACAACTTTTTTGCTGTTTAAAAGAACCTGAAAGCTGTAGCAATATTTCTTTTATATATATAATAATTAAAGGTATTTATCACTGCTTCCATTTTTCATTTGAATTCCTTTTTTTTAATTCAGGCTACTCTATTTCATGCTCTCTCCAAAAGAAATCAGTCTCATGCAACCTCCATGTAGCAAGTGGCAATCGGACACTCACTCTTCTGTCTGCCCAGCTTTTAAAGGTCAGGTGAAAAAAGCTGAAGATGCTTTGGCTCCATTTTGCTCTGATGTGAAAACCTGCCTCACTGTGGAAGAGGACTTGGGATTGTAACGGTGCAGCCCTCACCTTCCCCAAAAATCTCTGCCTTGCACAACAGAAATACAGAGACAATCTTGCATCTTCTTGCTAATGCATATAAAAGTCAAGTCAGCTGACCAGGCAGAGCCCGACTGCTTTAGCAAGGCAGCTTAAACTAGCCACACACAGGTAAATCTCACTAGTAGCTATTTTCTGAATATTGCTCCTTCTGAGCAAGGCTTTCCCCAAATTTCTTC